CCGGGCAGCGGAAGCAAAGAAGCCCTGGGTGATTGGGGGAGGGGGTTGTGTCTGGCACCCGTGCCTGTTTCATGCCCTGAGCATGTACGAATCCAGCACGGCTGGGTGGTGTGGTCCATTTCTGACCAGATCCCAGAAGCTAGATCGGGCCTGTGAAGGCTGCAATGGTGTTTTGGCCTTAAATGGATGTACTCTGCCAGGATTTGGGATCTGCTGACCTGGAGAGTCATGTAAGTGCACATCTGAGCACTCGCTTCATGAGCTGCTAAAATCTTGCCAGGAACAGATTAGAGGTTGCTCAACTAATTACTCAATCGGTTCATATGTACAGGACAGGAGAATGAGACTGGTTCATCCCTTCAATAGCCTGAGGTGAACTCTAATTATCTGTGTCTTGAGACCGAAACTCCCATATGTGTTGGAGCTCAGACCCCATCAACCTCCTGCCAACCGTTCAGCTGGGAGGCTCCGGCCAGGCTTGCTCTCCCACTCCAGTGTGGTCAGATGGACCCCAGATACCTGGAGCTCTATGTCCGTCTCTGGAAAGCTAGCACATCTGGCCTCTCCTTTCTATAGTTTCCTTCTTTTAAAACACAGACATTAAAGCATTAACTAATGGCATTAAAAAACCCCATAAAAGTGACAAAGCCAAGTGCTGAAGAGCTAGAAATTGCCCAAAATGGGTTCACCTGGGCAACCTAGCTTCAGGTGTCCTGTGTTTGTGATCACCTCCTGCATTTTGCCCTGGATTGCCACCTCTTCAGCACCCAGGCTGGACCTTGGCCCAAGGATCAGCTGGGCTGCCCCCTTTCTTAGCAGGGTCTGGGAAACTCCTATCCGAGCCGGTGAAGCAAGGGAATGCAGAAGAAAGACGGGGAGGTCCCCTGAGAAGATTCTTGCTGCCTCCCTGGAGAGCTGGGCCAGCCCCTGCCTCGAAGTTACTCTGGGAGTCGGTGAGCCACACGAGCAAGAGCTTTCACAGGAGCCACCACGTCTTCCTCATTTGCTGGAGCTGATTTACAGAAGTGCTAAAGGTTTGCAGCTGCAGTCACAGGCATCAGGAGCTGAGGTTTGGTTAAATAAAGTGCTGCATAAAGCCCAAAACACCAAAAAAAAAAAAAAAACAACACCAAACCCAACACCCTAGATCCTAGTTGGTTCAAACTGTGTGTCCAAAATGAATGAGTACTTATGACCTAAATCTCTCTCTGTCTCTGGTTTTGCAACTGTTAAATAGGGATGACTCCACCCCCCAGCACCTGAAAAGGTGGCTGTGAAAACAGCTTCATTAATAGCCCCGAGGCACTCACTCAGAGCTGGAGTGATGAGGGGTTGTGAAGAAATGGAAAAGCAGGATGGGGGAGCGGGCTCTGGCTACAGGACGTTGATGAAGGTAAGGCAGCCATCCAGGGAGGAAACCCTTGTGGATCATGCATGTGGCAGTAGGGCATAAATGCAGAGTGCTTAAGGGAGATAATTCTGGGATTTCCATTCTTTTGTGTGCTTGATTTACAGCCCTTGACATTTATCAGATCATTTGGGGTGTAAAGTACCTATTTCCTGTACATTGCCAGGCTGTGCCCAGTAAGAACTGGAAATGTTGCTGTGATGGGTGTTTGCCCTCTGCTAGGTGGATGAATTTGGTGGAACTGTTCTTGAGCTCTCCCACCCCAAACCTCATTCTAACACTCACTCAGCTCAGCCCTGGTGATGGAGTCAAACCATCCTGCCAGCTGGGGAAATTGCCTGCATGTGCTGATAGAGACCAGGCTGGATGGGGCTTTGAGCAACCTGGTGTGGCAGGAGGTGTCCCTGCCCATGGAGGGACACAGCGGGGTTGGAACTTGATGATCTTTAAGGTCCCTTCCAACTCTAACCATTCTATGACATGGCAGAAGCTTGTCTGATAGAGAGCAAGGACTTTGTTTAACGCCACCATTCACTTAACATCTCTTATCAGCACTGTATTCCACAAAAAAGTCTTCAAACTCATCTGGAGAATGATAAGACAATTGTTGCAATTGTCCAAATATTTTAAGAAAATATTTGCATTAAATGCTACATGTGAAGCAGTAACGATCGTGGTGGTTTACAGCAGGCTGAAGCTGGTGGCTGCTCGAGGTTGGATTTTTAAATAGCACTATGCACTGAATGGTCATGCAAACAAGATGGGTGAGATGGATGGGGTGAGACGCAGTGTTGGATGTTGATGCTGTAGGCCTGCAGCAGCGGTGAGAGGGCTGGAGCAGCAGGAAACTCTAGTGACCACCTATGCTGAGGAGCTGCACAGGTGGGATGTAGGGACCATTCTGGGGAGGGACTGGCTGCAGTTAAGGCTAAGAAATGCCCCATATGCTCTCTGGGCTCTGAGGAACCCATCTTAGTAGCTTGTTTTTCATTTTTCCTTATTTAAATTCTGGGAATATACCTCTAATCCATCCTACAGAGGCAGGATTCAACCCGGACCCTTTCTGACAGGTTTGTTTCCAGCCACTTCATATGAAGGGGCTTGAACAACTTTCCTGAACTCCCAAGGCCTTCCTAACCTCATCTTCCTCTGAACCTCACACCTGAACCTTTCCTGCTGCAGTTGGCACCTAGTTCTTTTTACCCCGCACTGACTGCACAGACAAGGGCTGACCACCCTTTCCATTACAACATATCAAAGACTGCTCCTTCCTCCCCACCCACTTCCCGCCCCCAGGACTTCTCTTTTCTAGGTTAAACGGACCGAACTTCTTCACTCTTTTCTCTTGGCATAATATTTCTCTGTATTTATCCTTTGTACTGTTTTTTTTCTGGACTTTTCCACTTCTGGACCTAGGACTCTGAATGAGTCTTGGAGGAGGTGGTCCTCTGCCACCCTGGCCCTTTTGTGACACCTCCATGCTGCTGGTGAAGCTTCAGTTTACGATGCTCTGCAGCCCCCAGATTTTTCCCTCCCATGCTGCTGTCCTGCTGGTTATTCCCCAGTTCTTCTACCTACATCTATCTCGCTTTGCTTTACATTTGCATTAGTTCTTGCTGAACTGCATCTTGCTGCTTTCAAGCCATTTCTTTGCCAGTTGAGATGACACTAAGCCTAGCCTCCAGAGTCCCTGCAGCTGCTTTGTCCCAGAGAGAACAGGACTCCCTTCAGCAGTGCCTGCTGTTGTTCAGGAGACACAAACACACATCCTTCCCCTAAAAGCCTCCGGAAAGATCCCTGCTCCATCAAACTGCTGGTATGGCAGTAACCCATTCAGTGCCATTGACGACAATTTCACAGCTACTGTGATCAAGATCAAGAAACCCAGAAAGTCAGGGGACACTCTTCATCAGTGTAAATGTAGTCACCTAAATCAAGCACAGAGATTAGGAGGCTGGCTCCTAAGGCTCCCTCTGAGAGCAGGGGAGAGGGAGAGCCTGGGGAGGGACAGCAAGATATCAGCTTCCCATGTTGTGCCTGCAGCAGATGCCCAGGGCAGCACCCAGAGAGCCATGAGCAGATGCTGGTGGAGCCACACTGGTGGTTTCTGCTGCTTTAGGCTGGGGGATCACAGCTCTCTCCAGAGGAACGACACGGGGCACTGCCTTAGAGGAAGCCACATGGGACCTGCCCAGCCCAGGGGACTGCTGTGAAGGCTCTGCCCACCATCCTGCTAGGAGACAGTCTCATTTACAGCACACTCATTCATTGCTCATAAGTGACATTCATATTCATTAGCATAGCAGCCACCTTGAGAGCAAGGAGTCTGTTTGGGCAAGGAGGGAAGAGGGATGCTCTCTTACTCCTGCTCAGTAAGACCAAGTGTCCAAGCCCTCTCCCACAATGTCGCTCTCCTGAGATTTCTCCATTAGCTGTAATAAAAGCCCAGCTCTGGGCAAACCAGGGTGCAGCTCAAAACTTTCCTTCTTTCCTCAAAACCTGTGCCATAGCAGCATTCCAGACAGCTTTGCACTGATGATCCAGCTCCTGCTGGGACACCCAGCTTCCCTCCTGCCAATGCAGCCTCCACCTTCCTGATGCCTCCCTTTAGCTGCAGATACAAAAGGAGGGAATTCAGCTTATTTGCCTGATAATGGAACAAAGATATTTTTCCCTGAGGAAGGAGTTCCCTCTGTCCTGCCCTGAGCAAGAGCAGCCTGTGAAGCTGTGTCTGACAGACCAGGCTGTCTCTGAGACCTGCTGGCCAGCAGAGGAGGTGGGTTTCCTTGGGAGAGTGGGAATCCAACGGCTTGTTTCCTGGAAAGGAAGTGCAGCGCGGGGTTGCTGAGTTCAGAGGAAGTGTAGCGATGCAGCGAGCGAATGGATGCTTCAACGCTTGTGCTTCTAGCCCCTGCCTTGGGAGGCCTGAACCCAACACCCCATGAGCCCCCCCGCGTCTCACCAGTGCCTTTGGCTGCCCCATTCCTGGAGCCAGCTGTGCCAGAGAAGCCCTGGCTGTTGCAGGGGAGCTGCACTGCCAGGGGATGGGGTGTCTCAGGGTGGTTCACGCTGAGCAAGCAAGCTCCACAGCCACTTTTGAAAGTGTGGAGGATCTGAGCATTTCCCTACAGCACACTGAGATAAAAAACACACTCAAGGCTGTGAAATGTTCAAACAATACATTCCAAGGATAGAATCATAGAATGGTTAGGGTTGGAAGGGACCTTAAAGATCATTGAGTTCCAATCCCCCTGTCTTGGGCAAGGACACCTCCACTAGAGCAGGTTGCTCAAAGCCCCATCCTGACTGGTCTTGAACACACCAGTACTATAGGATGTTTCTAAAGAGGAAAATGAGCCCAAATGGAGCAGTTTTGCTACTGGAGCTAAACTAAGTGACTTCCCCGAGCCACCCAGCCCCATGTGGTTCTTGCTTTTGGCCATGTTTGCTCCTGTGTTGGCTCCATGAGCGGCAGGCCTGGAGCAATGCCAGCAATGCCCACCAAGTCCTTACTGTGTTCCAAGTGTGTGCTCCTCTGCACACATGCTTTCTGTGTCACAATAAGGTTGCAAACCCAAAACTGCCAATACTTTTGCCCTAATGACAACTGCATCTCAAGTCCCCTTGCTGACACCCTGCTGCTGAGACTTGCTCGCTGCTCCAGCTTGAGGTAGGAGAAACTCAACCGAAACACCAATATGCAACAAAAACCAGTTAAGTGGGAACTGGGAATTGCTGCTTGCCATAGGAGTGGGTTACTGTTGATGGGTTCATGCCTGTTTCTGTGTCCGTTTCTCATAGTGCATGAGAGAACTCAGCCACTCTGAGGACGTGTGCTCTTGTCTGCGGATGGAGAGCCTGTTGGCATGTTCATCCCCCTGGTTCTGGCAACAAGAACAGACCGGAAAGAAAATGGCTTCTGCTTTGGCATTCCCTGCTCCTGCACCATCACTTCCAGAGCCGATAGCATGGAGTATCCTGAGGGCACTCCTGAAGCACTGCTGTCCCAGGGGCTGCTTGCCTGTCTGCAGTCTACTGGAGCTTGCAGTAAGGATGGAAGTAGTCCTGCACGGTACAGACCAGGAGAGAAACCAGGGGATGCAAAGCAGCTTCTCTTTATGCTGTCTGCATGGGCCATGCCCAAACTGGGTGCTGGCAGAGGGAGAATACCTCCCACGCAACCTCCCACACATCAAAATGCTCCTGTCTCCCCCTAGTCCTCTCCCACATCTTCTACTGTCAGCTGGGGGAGAAGGGGCTGGAGGGGAGCAGGCAGGGAGTCAGGACCCCTGCATGACAGTCTCACACCCCCTGGGGTGTAGCCAAACTCGTGTCGTGGCGTGGATTGAGAATTAGGTTTGGCTTCTGGGTCCATAGACCATTAGGTTTACAGCACCTTATTTCTGTGTGCCAGGGTTGATACTCTCCTCACAGGACGGGGGTGAGGTACTAATGAACGTTATAAAGAGCTAAAGAGCCTTGACTTACAGAAAACACTGGTCCTACCGAACCCAGCCCAAACGTTCTACGATCCCAAGCCTTTCTTCTTAGGTGGGGCTGGTGCTTCACTGTAGGCGTGCGATCCATCTGCACAAACAGCGTTCGTGTGGCACCTGCTGAGGGGGACCCACGTCAGCGGTGTCGGGGGCAGCGGGAGGGGGTGAGTGGGCTGTGGGGAGGTGGGTGGCTGCCTTGGAATTTCCCCGGCTGGGCTGGGGTGTCAGAGGCTGCCTGGGGCCGGACCGACCTCCTGCCTGCACAGGGCTGGCACGGAGCGCGGTGCCCCTGGAATTTCTGGGGCTCCCGGCAGCGCCTCCTCCGCACTGCCCTCCTTTGAGGGTCCAGGTTTCGCAGCCAGACCCGGGGCTTTTCTTCCTTTCCATCTCTGCTGTTTGTCTCAGAGAAAACCCATCTTGCTGTTTTTCAACCGCCTGAAGGTGTTTTTCGGGGGTTTTTCAGGCTATTTTGAAGCTCATTTTTCCCAGATGTGCTTCTATTTTTCTTTTTTTTTTTTTTTTTTTTTTTTTTTCTTTTTTCTTCTTCTGTAACTTTTCTTCTTCGCCTTAAAGTTTCCGGCCACGTGACTTTCAGCTTACATCCCCAAGGTTCTGAGAAACCACAGGAGGCTGAGACCTAAAGGGAAGGTGCAGAGGCTCTGAGAGGAGAGACAGAGAAAGTGGCAGAGCACGGGGCAGGAGGACAGTGTGCCTCCAGGACGGGCAAGAGCCGAGAAACCACGGGCCATCTCAGAGGGAACAGAGGAGGACACGGGAGAGGGAAGAGAAGTGAGACAGAAGGCAGACACCCCAAGAGCATAAAGGAAGCTGAAGAGGCCCTGGGAGCCAGAGACAGGAGCCATGCCCCACAGCTCCGACAGCAGCGACTCCAGCAGCTTCAGCCAGTCTCCCCCTCCCAGCAAGCAGGTAAAGAGAGACCTTTCTCCAGCTCTGCCAGCCGGAGAGTCCCTCGGGGTGAGCCACGGGTGGGCAGGAGGAAGGGTGGCACCTGCCACTGGCTTTTTCACAGCGCAGTATGGCAGGGCTTTCTAGGAATGGCTGCGGGGAGAGGGATGCAGGGCTGAGCTGACAGCCCTGGCAGGAGCCCAGGCCACCGAGCTGGGTACGGGTGGAGAGAGGAGGGCTGGCTACCCAGGACTGTGCCAGGGGCAACGGGGGTGCCAGGGTCCCCGGGCTCGGTGGGCCCTGCGGTACACACCGGGCAGGCAGCAGGCAGGAAGCTTCGGCACGAGTGCTGGTGCTCCGGTGAGGAGCCTGAGTGTGCAAGTCCTTGCCGTGGACCAAGATGGCTCAGGAGCAGCTTTCCTGCTTCCCACTGACACGGGCAGCACTCGGGACCCAGAAAACCTTGACACTTTGGGTCTACTTTCTCTTCTGTTCAGCCTCAGAGGTTTTTTGTCTCAGTAATGCTTGACAGAGGGATTTTGATAATGGTAGGTTTTTTGCTGGCAGGTACTGATACAAGTCCAAGGTATTTCCACTGCCTTTTCTGGCTAAGCTTTATTATATCTGTCATTTGCCATTTCTCTAGGGCTGGCAACAATGGCAAGTACCTGACACTTTGCTCAAAAATCTCGGGGGATGATCAGGGTAGATGGTTTTGGGCTTGCAACCAGGGATGGGGAGGCATTCTTGTAGAGAAGAGGATAAAGCACAGGATTTGACAAAGGATAGGGACTGGACTTGGTGCAGGGTGTAGGAACTGCAATATCTGAGACATTAGCAGGATATCGAAGGCAAGGATAAAACGGTTAAGTTCAAAGAAAAGAAAAGATCTTGGGCGGGGTGGAGGGGGGGAGAGGATGTGGACAGACTGATGGGCTGGGAAGATAACTTTTGTGGCTGAGTTTTGTAGTCCTGTGGAGAAGCGGTGGTGTGAATGTTAGAGAGTCCACAAAAGAGGCAGTGCAATATGAAAATAGAAGATGAAAGAGTCTGTGTGACGGTTTCAACTGTCAGAAGGCAGCAGCAGGACCAGACCTCAGCAGAGAACGGCTGCTGCATGAAGCTTATGAACCTGGAGACCTGTGCTCTCCCCTGCCAAAGGGGCTTGGGAGTGTTGCAGTCAGCACTGCAGGCATTGCTGCCAAGGGACCCCAGAAAAGAACAAGCACAGAGATCAGAGAGCTGGAGCAAATGAGATCTGGGAAAAAACAAAAGCTCTGAGTCTGTCTAGTTAAACAAAGCAGGGGCCACATCACACTGTAAGGGTCTGCAACAAATAAAGTCCGAGGGAGAAGGGTGATGGAGAGGGAGTAGGACCTACAGGGATGAAAGGAGGAAAACACAGGCTGAATCTCTGGAAGATGGTTTAGCCAAGGAGCTGGAATGTGTGCAGTACCGTATCCCTGCAGAGATGGGGAAGGGAAAGGTTTTCTGTAAAAGAAACTCAAATTGTCTCTGTTTCAGGACTCTGGTCCCTCAAGCCATATCCCAGGCCTGTGTCATGGTGAATGGAGAGTGGTCATTTCCCAGCTGTGCTGGGATGCTCAAGGGTATCCAACTTGCCCCTGTTGGCAACAGGGATGCCAAAAGCATCACACATCCCTGGGGTATGGCTTTATCCTGGTGCTGAGAGTGTATCCCATGTCCTGTACTTCAGTGACTGAAGTGTCTCCTTCCCACCCCCTGCCTCACAGAAGCAGGGCGAGGGAGGGGATGCCCCAGTGATTTCCATGCCTTGTTTCCCTAGGACTCTTCTGATGACATGAGGAAAGTCCAAAGGAGGGAGAAGAATCGCATCGCCGCCCAGAAGAGTCGCCTGAGGCAGACCCAGAAAGCAGACACGCTGCACTTGGTGAGCACTCCCAACCTTCCCTGTCCTGGGAACTGAGGGATCACATAGGGGACAATGTGCTTTTCCCCTGGGGACTCAGAGCAGAGAAGCTCAGTTGAAGCAGGACAGGAAAAGCGAGGCCAGGGCAGGATGTAGGAGTCAGCGCTCGCAGCGAGAGCACACAGCCCAGAGCGATGCCAATGAAGCATTTAGTTTTGCAGCTAGTTTTGAATCCATCCTTATCTCTCCATTTGACATTACCGATTTCCTTTCCTAACCTCTTCAAAAGACAAAAGCTCTTTGGAAGCACAGGCTCACCCAGGCTGGCTCTCCCCAGGTGTGTGCTTCATGCCATCACTTATGGAAGGGTGCAACAGTATTCAAGGCCGCTTTTCTGAGACAGTGGTGCTTTGTGTTCATCGGTACGGATGAGGGTGCAATGTGGAGCCAACTCCTCTGGTCTGTTCCCTGAGATGCTACTTAGTGTAGATGAATAAATATTAATAAGTTTTGAATATTCTTAAATGTCTGCATGGTAGCACTTCTATCCCTTTCTACACCTGAACGTTGTGCACTACCTGGAGGTTTTTCCTGGTTTTTTAGTATGAATTTTCCCTCCTTTGGTTTCATTCTGCTGTCCCACTCTCCTCCTGTGGCACCATGGGTGCCCTTGTGGCTCTTCCCAGTGTGAAGAATTAGGCATTTGCTTTTCAGGAGGGATGGTCACTTCTGGCTGTGTGCGTTTGGGCAGGAGTGTGTGGTCAGTGTTGGAGCACAGGGACTGGGCTACTTTACATTTCGCACATTAGTAAGTGCAGTCCCATCTGCTTTGGGCCACTGGCGGGCAGGATGCAGAGTACACAGCCTGCAGTGGGCAGAGACCTTCTTTACCCCTGCACTGGGCTTGGCTGCCCTTTGAAAAGTGGTAGTTGAGCTCATGTTCAAAAAAACATCCTTTGACTTAGTGGTCTTCATATTCTCCCAGATCCCAATTTTTAGGAAGAACTCTTGAGAAGCAGGTCCTGAACCTTCCTCCTTACATACTGCTCTCAGTCCATGGTTGGAGCTGGGTTTAAGACAGAGATTTCATTCTTTTCTTAGTAGCTGACATGGCTCTAGGCTGATTGCATTACATCTGTCAGCATCAATGGCTCTGGGTGACTGTGCCTGAAAGGAGTGAAGAGACACCCTTTCCTTGGGGTCAGTGCCCAAGGTAATCGTAGAGGTGGGTGTGCTCTGACCCTCCCCCAGGAAAATCCTGCATAGCTGTGCACCAAGAAGAATTGGGCTGCTCTTGTAAGCAAGTGGTTTGTCATCTGCTCTGAGATTACTACTGCTCAGGTAGCACTGACAGCACACACTCGGTGCCTTCCCATGGGGATGGGAGAAGGGGGGTTATGCCCAGTTTGGTTCAGACAGAGAAGATCCCGGCAGGCAGCTGGAGAAATGCTGGGAGGCAAATAGAGGATGGATGGTGAATTTTTGCTAATGTTTTTCCAATTCCTGGTAAACAGTGACCCCCACTGCTCCCGTGTTCATTCCCTGAGTGCTCTTTGCCTTTGGTCGGCTCCACATCAGGGACTTTGCTTCTTTGATGTGGTTCTGCCCAGAAGAGCATGGCCCAGCTTGAGCTATGGTGGTAGGAAAGGAGCCAGCAGCTCCCTCTGCCCCAGGGCTTCGTAGCTTGTGTTTTGAGGGGAATGAGTCATGGGGATGGTGGTGCTCCCAGCCCCTGGGTGATTCCCGTCAGCTCCTGGGTTTGACGTCAGTCACGATTTCTGAAGCATTTAGCCATGTCTGAGAGATGTCCGTTTGCTGTGTGAGCTCCTCCTGTGACAGCCACCATTAACTGCTGGGTGCGTTTCAACCTGTGTGTGGGGAGCGGGCACCGTCAGAAGCCAGCGTGGCAGTGGAGAGGTGACAGGGTCACCTTGTGAGGTGGTGGTGCAGCTTTCCAGGGCCTCAGGCTGCTGGGTCCCACTTTAGCTGTCTCGGCTGAGTTTGCAGAGCCTGCCACCACGTCCTCCCTCCATCCCTCCCTCCTCAGGTCCTGCCCAGCTGCTGGCTCCGTGGTTGGTCTGTGCCTGGGATGCTCCAGCCTGGAGCTGGCTGCGCTTGGGCAGCAGTAGAGGTATCGAGATGCTCTCAGATCGTTGAGACAAGGCTGAGCATCGTTATTAACCCCTTTGTTGTTATTCTCATGAATAACAGTATTAATTCAGTTCTTCTGAGGCCCCGGTTTCTCTTTTCTTCTGACTCAAGCGTCTCCCCCCTCCTCCCCACCGTGCCGCTGGTTTCCCCGGCTGCTAGCAGGAAGCAGTGAGTCTTTTCTTTCCAGGGCAATGACAGGTTTCCTGTGGCAGGTGGTTTTCTGGTTAAAGACGGCGGTTATTCAGCGTGCCCTACCCCCTCTCCCTGGGTCGGGCGGCCCGGGGAGCATCCGGGCGCTGTGCCTGTGCGTGAGAGGGAGCGAGAAAGCCTGGGCGGGAGCACGACACCATCACTTCTCGTAAGCCAGGGCCGGGGAACGAGGCTGGGGACGCCAGCATCGCACCCGCGCCCGGCACGGCCGGCCGGGGGAGTGGGGTTTGCCCAGGCACGGCTCTCTGCCGAATTTGCCGGAAACGTGTCATTCTGGAAACTCTGTGGGGCAGAGAGGTGCGGGACCCACCACCCCCGGGTCCCCCCGGCTCATCCCTGCGGCTCCTGTGCTGGGGAAGCGCCAATGGCATCCTGGGGTGCATCAAGAAGAGTGTGGCCAGCAGGTCGAGAGAGGTCATCCTGCCCCTCTGCTCTGCCCTGGTGAGGCCCCATCTGGAGCACTGTGTCCAGTTCTGGGCTCCCCAGTTCTAGAAGGACAGGGAACTGCTGGAGAGGGTACAGCAGAGGGCTACGAAGATGATGAGGGGCCTGGAACATCTCCCTTACAAGGAGAGGTTGAGGGACTTTGGTCTTTTTAGTCTAGAGAAGAGAAGGCTGAGGGGGGATCTGATCAGTGCTTATAAGTACTTAAAGGGCAGGTGCCAAGAGGATGGGGCTGGTCTTTTTTCAGTGGTGCCCAGTGACAAGACAAGAGGAAATGGGCACAAACTTGAATATAAGAAGTTCCACCTAAACATGAGGAGGAACTTCTTTACTTTGAGGGTGGCAGAGCACTGGAACAGGCTGCCCAGAAAGGTGGTGGAGTCTCCTTCTCTGGAGACAGTCAACGCCCGCCTGGACGAGTTCCTGTGCAACCTGCTCTGGGTGGACCTGCTTTGGCAGGGGGGTTGGACTAGCTGATTTCCGGAGGTCCCTTCCAACCCCATGTGATTCTGTGGTTTTGTCTCCTCAGGAGAGTGAAGACCTAGAGAGGCAGAACGCTGCCCTGCGCCGGGAGATCAAGCAGCTGACGGAGGAGATGAAGCACTTTGCCTCGATGTTGAGCTCCCACGAACCGCTCTGCTCCATCCTGACGTCCCCTCCGCCGCCTCCAGAAGTGCTTTATGCCACGCACTCCTTCCACCAGCCCCACATCAGCTCCCCACGCTTCCAGCACTGAGCCAGCCAGCGGAACGGCAGCCTGCCGGCTCCTCTGATGGCAAGAAGCAATTTTCGTGGGGCTCGCTTTTCCATCCAAGGGAGAGGGACGGACGGATGGACAGACACCCCTTCTCAAAGTGCGTACTCTGAGTGACTTGCCTAAGACTTGCTCCCTGTGCAGAAATGGCAGAGCCACCAGGAGGCATCTTCGGGCAGTTTCCTGCTGGGATCCTGGAAGAGGAGGCGTTCACAAAAGGGCACCAACCGCCTTCCCTGGTGCTTGCTTGGGGACGCTGGCAGGAGTGTGTGGCACTGCCAGCCTCCGTGCGAGCGGCTGGCTGCGGCAGGCAACAGCAGGAGCTCCAGGACGAGAAACGGCAGCAGGGGCAGAGGGGAAGGTTGGGGGCCACAGAGTACCAGGGCAAAACTGGTTTATTTTTGTAAAATAAAAATTGAAAATATTTAGTTCTTTGTTTCCAAAATAGGACCTGAGCCACTCCTGAGGTCCAGCGGGACACAGTGAGGATGCAGCCAGCAGGAGGGGAGAGCCTGGAGTCCAGGGAACAGCCCTGTGTCTAATCCAGGACCAGAAGCTGGAGCCCCACATTCAGAAGGGGGGCCCATGTATGTGGGTTGGGCAAGCTGGGGACCAATGGTTTGTGGGGAGGTGGGGTCCCTGGGGGAGATGGGTCCCTCCTTGCTGCAGGGCTGGACCTCCTGGCTCATGAATCTGACATGCCACATCATAGCATCACAGGTCTCTTCCCTGCTGCCAATGGCTAGACCTCCACATGCTCCCCTTGCGTGTGTGGAGCACTGCCACACCATGTCACCTTGCCTCTGGGTCTTGATGGGCTGGTGGAGCCTTCAGCGTGACCAGCAGCACAGCTGGGAAGGAGCATCGCAGCGTGGAGGGGGGTGGTGATGCTGTGCTGGAGCGCACAGGGGAAGCAGGAACTAGTAGGACCCTTGCTCTACAGCACCCCGCTGTAAGGCACGTAGCTGCAGCCCACGCTGCTTCCCCTTCCCCACCAGTCACAGCTCCACAAAAGGCTGCTGCACTCTCTCGGGCATTGAAGCAGATGAAACCTGAAAGGTCAGTGAAGAGTTCTGCTGGGTCTGATCTAGTGGAAACACAAAGTGGTCCATACAGATGGTCTCTGCGCCTAACACCCCCCAGCCAGCAGTCCCCCTATCAGCCCTGTTCTATACACAAGCCTCAAGCCTACCTGCCGGTGCAGGTCCTGTTGCTAATGCTGGCTCGAGGCTGCTGCCATCTCCAAGGAGCATCAGCTGCAGGTTTTTTTTTCAGCGTAGGGTACCACAAGCAGCACTGCTGACGTAGGCTTTTAACTGAGCTAAATGGACCTGTGTGGAATCATAGAATAGTTTGGGTTGGAAGGGTCCTTTAAAGGTCATCTAGTCCAACACCCCCGCAATGAGCAGAGACATCTTCAACTAGATACCCTTTTTTCAGGCACAGAGAAGCAGCATATTTCCACATCAGTTTTGGCCCGTCATCGTAGCTCTCAAGAGCAGCTGGGAGAAGTCTGCAATGTGCTGTGCTGTGCCCATTTTCTCTCTCCAGATCGCACTAATGGGATGACAACCAAACTCTGCCATGCCTCAGGAGGCTGTCCTCAGGAGAGGCACAGGTGGCACCGCGATTTCTCCTGCCAGGGCCTGTTAAAAGGCTTGTGAACCTCCTGCCTCCAGCTTCTGTGCCAGCATGGGAAGCAGCGTGGCCAGGGATGCCTGCTGTCAGCACATTGGCCTGGGTGGCACCACCCTGCAGAAGCAGGGCTGAGGCAATGGGTGATTGCACTGGCCCTTGTCTGCCCAGCTCTGCCCCGAGGGGTGTGCTCACACACAGGGGAGGATGGTGATTATTTCAGCCGGGCAGCTGGGTTTCTGCATACAGGACATGCAAAACACATTTATGGGCAGCAAAAGGATTCTAACCAGGTTCACAGAAAAGCAGCAGGAGCAATTTCAGTGTTTTACACCACCTCCATCTGCTAGATCTCACACCAGTAGGCTTCACTCCATCCATTGGTACAACAACCAGAGGTGCTCACCCCCTGCACAGGTCATGCTTTGAGCCACGCAGGCTACAAAGGCCCTTCCCAAATTGCATTTCTTGGGGATTTGGCTCTTTAAGCCTGTGAGAGACAACTGGTTGCAGCTCTAGAGGAGCTTGTTTTTACAGGCTCTGCTCCTTCAGCTTCTGATGAGTTTGCTCCCGGATTTTTTCACTTGCTATTCCTTAGGGCCTTGATGCTCCCATGCTTCCTGGGTTACACAGAATCAGATGAAAGAGCTACTGCTACCTCGCTTGGGGTTTGTTGTGCAGGGCACTGGAGGACCGTGCTCCTCACTGAAAGATGCAACAGAATCCCAGCAAAGCTTGTGGTGACTTAAAACAGTATTGCCTACAATAATGAGAAATCTCCATCCTTGCTGCAAGCCTTTGTGTTTTCTCATGGTTGTAAAATGCCAAGCTGGGGTATCACCTATGCCCACACAGACACGAAGCCAATAGTTTTGTTGCAGAGCTGTCGAAGTCTGAGATCCTGCAGGCTGGGTGGGGTTCTGCCCAATGCCCACAGAATTGCTAGACTACTCACTGGTAACGTCTCAGGCTTATTACTGCAACTCAGAATGAAAATAAGTGGTAAGTGGTGAGACTGGAAGATGGGTTTGCAACAACATCCTCTCCAGAACCTAAACAATAGTCTTGGCATCATCGGTTAAGTGCCTTTCTCCTGCATGGCTGGCTATGAGGCCTCTAAGCAGTGCTGTGCTCAGCAATTTTGGCCAAACGCTGGGATGTATGTTGGTGCTAAAAGATGCATCTTCCAATCTGACTTGTCTTTGCCCCAGTCTTGCCCTCGAAAACTGGATCACAGAAGATGATCTGCATGGTTCAAGCGGTTTTTAACCTCTTGCTTCTGGTGAGGTTAGGTGTCTTGGATGCTTCTGGTTAGGTGTCTTGGATGCGCGCTCTCTTTGTTATGAAGAATGGTTCCCCTGGGAGACCTCCTTAGCACCCAAGCAACAAAGGACAACATATCCTTTCAGGGCCACCAGCCCTTTCAACTTGAGTCACTGAGAAAAAGATCTTTTCCTGAGGCTGTTTCCAGAGCTGCACGAGCTGCTTGCTCAGGCTACATGAGAAGATTCCTTCCCTTCCGTCCCGGTCTATCTCTTACTTCTCTTTCCCAGGCTCCTGGCCTCTGGTGCAAGCTTCTCACGCAACTAGTTTTGATTTCTAAGTAGCCAAGTGCCTCTCCTCTGGTGTAACCCTCACCATTGTCAGCAAATGAATCGTTAATGAGTTCAAATGAGGAGCAAAGGGCAGGGTGGTGGCCAGGGCAATCATCCCTGATTGCTTTTGATTGTCTGCTCCTACCCGCAATGCAATTCCTTTTGAAGTTCATTTCCATGGGATCTGGCATATCTGAAGTATTGTGTGAGTATTATCTGGCCATGCCCAGCCTCCAGGAGACCCATGCTGCTTTGCTGTTCCAAGGGAAGGGGATGCTTCTGGGCACGTGAGTGAAGAAACTGCATGCAGGTTGGACCTGTGGCAGCTTGTTCCTACCCGAGTAGGATGTCAGTGCCTTTCTGTTGTACTATATAGTCCCTCATGGAAAAGCTTTCTCAAAGCAGCAAAGAGATGAGGGCTCACAGGAGGCTGAGAGACTCTTTTTGAGCCAGAGAAGGCCAGGTGGAGGGACAACTCTTCCCTGCAAGCACGGCCTGCTGAAATACTGCGTTTGTGCTGGCCTCTGCTGGGCAAAGGCTGAGCTCTCCCAGCCTGCAATCACGCTTCTGGGTGACATCCTCTTCACACTCCCCTGCACTCCTAGGAGACCTCTTCTTCATGCTACCCTATGGCAAGAGCTGGCTTGAAGGTTAGCCTGGCTGTTGCCAGAGACTAGGGAAATAACTGGGAGGCTCAAGGTTAATGTGTGTGGAGGCAAGGGTTAGGTAAGGCTGCCTGAAAGGGCATGTCCAGGTCCAAGTGGAAACGTGGGGCTGTGGTCTCCCTTGGCCAAGGTTCTCATAGCTTGGGCCAGGGGCCAGTTCTGCTTTGTGGTCCCAGCATGTTTCCATTGCTGTGTGAGGGTGTGGGGAGCTCGGCTTGGTGTCACTCACCTTCCCCAGCTCCCGTGGGGCTTGCAGAGCTGTGTGCAGGCAGTGCTCTGCGTTGGACGTGGGGACTGAGCTCTGGGAAACATCACAGGTGGAAGTGTATGAGCCACTTGCTTAAATATAGACCTGGCTACAGCCCTGATCAGCCCATAATCACCTTCACTGAGACCTGAGATGAGAACCGTGGATTTCAGTGTTTTGACACTCAGGAAAGCTTTTGTAGAAGCACTTGTGCTGGATTTCTGCCCAGCAGCCTTGTCCTGGTGGCTCTGCTGTGGATGCATAATTGGGCAAAGCCAGCCAAAAGCCCAGTGGTTTGGTGCTGGGAGAGCAGCGAGGGCAGGTGGAAGGTGGCACCGGGAGGCAGTTGCCATGGACGCTTTTCAAGCCTCCACATTTATTTGCTGGGTGGTGTCTTCTCTGCAGACAAAATGGAGGTATGTGGCAAACAACTGTTGATACAGTCAGAGAGTGGAGATGGGAACTGGGGGCCATGAGACATTTTCCTTTATGGCCTTCACTGAATCTCAATACCTCCTGTGGATCAAGGCATCCTGGGAACTCTGTGCAGAAGGAGAGCAAGTCACAAAACATGGAGCCTGCAGTAATTTTCTTCCTTTCCATCTCCCTGAAAGGACGGACTCAGCACTTTACAAGCACTCAGTATCAGCATTTCAGGGCTGCTTCTATGGTAAGATAAATAAAGATAGGACATTCGGTGCTGACTTAAGCTTAACATATCTCCCCAGATGGGAAGCCCAGGGCAGTCTTTTACTGGTATTCCCTTCCTGCTTCATCTTCCTCGGCTCAGCTGCAGGCTCCCAGTGTCAGTGTGCTGGGTGCCAAGGTTGGGAGCCACAGAGCCAGCCAGTCCAGGGGAAGGTGCTTCCATCCTGCTGTATGGGGCTGTTATGATCTCAGCTGTCATCACTGATGCCCTCCCTTTAAATTGATTCACATGTGAATTTTCTTTCTTGAGGGACAGAAGGAGGAGTAATACCCAAGCACAGTGTGCATGGTGTCAGAAGAGAAATAGAGGCTTATCTTCAGTTTGGCAAAGGACAGACTAAGCAGCTCTGTTGCCCACTTTGCTGTGGCTCCAAAGGATTTATGCACTTGTTTTGCAAATCCCATCATCTCAGAAGTCACTTCTGTTAGTGCTGCCAGCCTGCATCAGCAAGAGAATAATCTCCTACATACTCAACTAAAGGAGCAGCCTGCAAAAGAGACCCTCTCTCTGTCTCTTACAATGG